GATTGCCCGAGAAGATTTTATTGAGGACCAAAAATTCAAACTCACAATTTTCATTGCAGCTACGAAACAGGTAATGGCATCTCAGCTCGAGAAGAGGGCTTCCTGAAGAACGCGGGCAACCCAGAGACAGAGGCACAAGTCGCCCAGGGCCAGTTTTCCTACATTGGGGACGACGGCATCCCCATCAGCCTGACTTACACGGCAGACGAGAACGGCTTCGTACCTCAAGGGGCCCATCTGCCTACGCCGCCTCCCATACCACCGGCAATCCAACGCGCACTGCAGTTCCTGGCCAGTCAGCCCGAATACAAGGAACCTCAGCCACAGTTTGGATTCAATCAAAATAGGAGAACGAATTTTGGACGAAAGTGAGGAACATCCTCTCAATTCCGTATTGTTTCAGGCAGAGCACTGAATATCTTATTAACTAATACTTCTAGCAGACGAATTAAAAGTTCGGTGGAAAAAAAATAACGGAATGCAGCCATGCAGAAATGTCTTGTATTTCTTCAAAATATCATCAAAGACTTGTGAAAAAATTATTTATATATACATTGTTTTCAAGCCCGTGGATAGAATTGATTTCTTTACGAACTAGGTTGACGGTAGACACTCCAGATGATTATAAAACATGTACATTAGCAAATTCCTTCATCAAATTATCGTTGTTGAGAACTGCAGTTATTATTATGTACTATAAATTCGTTCGTTACAATAGCTCTGTAAGTAAAATACACGGTCATTTCTCGTCCAACTCATTCCGTAACTAAATTCATCATTATTTCTCTGCACGAGTCTAAAGTGTTTATAATATACATATAAGTGACGGTGCAAATTATTATTACATTTATGTCAGCAGTGCGAACACCACGTCCATTATTATGGAACATCAGTACCTCGGACACGTGGTCCTATGTTCTCCAGCTCTTGTAACAAGTTCTTTGGTATTTGCAAGCAATGACACCCACGCGTTGAACACTTTCTGGAGATAATTGTGTCTACAACCGCTATTAATATTAAATTAACGTCCGTAACATGTTTCCGGCATGAGATCAGATTCTTGTCTTCTTGAATATCAAAACTGTAAAACCAATGTTTCGGCGTAACATGCTGCCTCAGTCATCAGGGGTGAAGTTCTCAACTCCTGCTACTCTCCCGTACTTGGTTGTACATCTTTTCGTCTGCCGTGACTATTGATGTGTTGATGTAATCTTATCCTGTTCATTTAAACAATGAAGCAATGAGGAAGCACGTACTTCGATCGATGGTTTCTTCCTATAGAACACGGCATCGCAACCCAGGAAGGCCGCAATCTGCATCATCCTTCCCTTTATCAGTCGTAACATTCTACAGCTTCTGCGATCTCTTACTAGAATGTAGCAATAAAATGTAAGCAGAATGTTTTCTGACTGCCGTACGTGTTAAGACGAACATTCGACAACTAACACTGATATAAATTGGTAAGGTATTTATTTCGAATTATGCTATTGTAATATTGGTCTTCTGATGTGAATTTACTTCATTGGTTCGAATAAAAATCATAATTATTAGTAGTACTTTTTCAGTGATATCCGTACCATACTATTTCCAAACCGGACAATATAGAAAATTAATGACATAGCCTACCGTCGAGATTTTCTGAATGCCCATGGTATGATTGTGACACTAGATGACAATCATGCACTCATTTATAAGAAACAAAATACTTAAA